GAGGACCCTAGGACCATCAAGGGAGCGGAGCATAAGCAGAATGTGAGCCATTATCCAGAGAAGCAGCGATACCAGAGACAGAGGTAGAGATTGGGACATGGAGAGGGGGAGCAGCTGAGGACTCTAGATTCATGGGAAGAGAGGGACCAAGAACTGGAGGCCAGGAGGCAGACTTGCAGAATGTGCCCTTTGGTGGTGTACATTATTATATATGCCTGAGTGTTTAAAAAAAAAAGCTCAAGTGAATAGAGAGAAATATTGTTATCTGATGGTACATGGTGGGGATTATAAAACTGTAACTAAACAAGGTGTATGATCTGTTGAATGTAAAACTAATGACCTGCCCTGTAAACTTTCACTCAATCCACAATAAAAACGTAAGGAAAAAAAAAGTTCACTGGTTGAATAGAGACGGGAACCCCCAAGACTATGGTCCTTAGTCACCCTTCAGGACTGGAAATGGACTCACACCATCACTCAGTTTTTGTTTTTGTTTTCATCACTCAGTTTTTAGCAAAACAATATACACATCTAAAGGGTAATGAAAACACTAGGGAGGTATGGACACCATTTAAGGTCAAAAGGGCAACATTTACCCAAGGGCAAAGCTCAGAAGGTTTAGAAAAAAAGAAGGATGGAAACTGAAAACATGGGGAGGAAGTGGGAGAAGTGGTGTTGTTACATTGTGGGGAGTGTATTCAATGCATGACCTAAAACAAGATGTGTATGAACTGTTGAATGGAAACTTGATCTGCTCTGTAAACCTTCAATCAATTCACGATGAAAAGTTACACTAAAAGCTATGCGAAACGTACAGAAGTAAGGGAGGCAAAGCTACTCAAAAGAAATACTCCTAATGAATACATATCATATAATATACTTTCATTTTAATTATTAGAACTTTAAAAGATTAAAAGTGCTTTTGACATTATAAAAATGAAGCAGATTTCCTTATACAAATTGACTTATTTCTCCTAAAAGATTCCAAAAGAACAACATATAGATCTCAAAGCTAAAACTATCCTATCCCTATAAAATATAAAATATATGTTTTGTGTAACTGTGTGCAGAATTGATTGCTTGTCTAATTGACTTTCAGTTCAATGCCCTACTCTGAAGTGAGTCCTTGATGGACACAGGAGTATCAACACTCCACAAGTTATGATGAGTACAGTCTTATCAACATGTTTGACCATCATACCTCTTCACAAGCCACCATTCCAAGATCCTGAGACTCCATGATCCCCCAGCATCCTCCATCACATCACCAAACATCCCTTTCTGGCAGCTGCCATGGTTGCTCTGCACTCACCAGGGTGATATTTTTCTTCTTCTCAACGGAGGACACTGGCCACCAGGAAGTGCTGAGCTCTGGCTGTTCATGTGGCTCCTGCTGCTCCGGTTGCTCCAGCTCCCGCCGTTTCCTGTCCCTGTTGTCCACATCCTGGAAGTGGGGAAGGACAATCAATGAGTGTCCCTCTAAACACAGCAATCCAAAGTCACATCTCTTCCCATGGCTTCCTCCCTAACGTCCCACACACATTACCCCCTAGATAAAATCATTCTTTCCAACATCTAACCCCTCTTCCCTCCTAAAAAGAAGCCCACCCTGCTTAAGCCTCACCAGGTGGAGGATGTTGGGCCTTGGAGAACAGAGTCCCTTCTGCCCAGGCCCCTGACCACCCTCCAGCTCCACTCTCATGGGGTACAGCAACCACTTTCCGTTGGCAATCTCATGGGGCCACATGATGTTAAGGAAGGCAGAACCCAGGGTATTGAGCGACTGGCCTTGATTGGACACCTGTGAAGAAGAAGAAGCAGGAAGGAAGGGCACTCAGTTCCCAAAAGGGCCCTAAATTCACAGATAGGAAACAAAGACTGAGGGGACAGCTCCGGGAGGTTTAGTTTCACCAAAGACTCAGGATCCTGGACCCTACCAGGCACCATTCCCCCCATGGCCAAATCCAGAAAAACTTGAAAGTATCACTGGGAGGGGTGAGGGAGGCCCCAGCCAAGCAGGTGAAAAGACATCAATCCTCCCCCATGTTCCCTTTCCCGCTGAAGTTCCCAGCAAAGAAGCGTCTGTGAATTCCAATATCCTCTCCAGACCAGTCAGGGATGACCAAGAAATGATCAGTTGAGGCCCCAGCACAGCCCACAGTCAAGGTTCAGGTGGAGGCAACAAATGCACTGAGCCACCAAGCTGTTGTATAAGTAATGCCACAGTCTCTGTTCTGTGCTCAGGGAGGGCGGGGTGACCATGGAGGGGTCACCTGGGAAGACACTTACCGTGACCTCATACTTGACCTTGCTGCCCACATCTCTCTCTGACTTCATGGCACTCTCTCCCCTCACCACACCAGAGAAGAAGAGTTGCTGGGGGACAGCCACCCTAGTGTGTGAGGGTCAAAACAGGGACTGAGGAGGCCTGTGGCCTAGTTGAATGGAGGACCAGGAGGGTAAAGCCAAGAAAAACCAAGCCTGGGTCAGGGCTTGGGAGTGCTGATACCCCTCCTCCCCTCCAGTGGAGAAGCCTACTGGGCTGGGCTTACTGGGCAGGGCTTACCCAGCGATGGACAGAGGCAGCTCAATGAAGACCCGGGCCCGAACAGAGACTGGATGGAGCTCCTGCTCACTGATGCTGGCAAAATGGCAGGGAAGGCTTAGGCACACCAATCCAACTGTCCCACCCTCACTCCACCCTGGCCCCACCAGGCTTACGTGGCCAACAGCAGTTCCACCTCCAGCTCTGTGGTCTCAATGGTCATCCCCGAGGTGCTAAGGATGAGGTAGAAGGTGACCTGGGCCAAGAGTGGGGTGGAATGGCATCAGGGTAGGGCTAGGAGCTTAAGGAAGGGGTCAGGAGTTAGAGTCACTGGATGAGCTAAGGGCAGACTTGCCAACCTGAGCACCTCTCTTCATGGGGTTCCCCAGCTCACACTCAATATGGGAGGCATTTTCATTGGACTGGCAGAGTGGCTTCTCCTGGAGTGGGGTGACAGAAAAGGTCAGTCTGAATTATTGAGCCTCCTGAGACCACCTACCCCATCCCATCCAGTCCCAGGTCCTCACGGCAAAATCCAGGACCCGGACTCCTGAGTAGTCAAGAGTGGCAGGGAGGGTGACCAGAAGCTGGGCCTCATGAGCATCATCTCCATCAGCCTGGGGCTGGGCTGGGTCCGAAGGCAGGTTGGTGACTTTCAGCTCCAGGCCGATGAATGGCTGCCCGCTCAGTGCAAACAGAGCTGTCGTCCCATCTTCATCCCTAGGGGTCAGATTCCACTCATTCTAAGATCTGAATACCTTCCTCAGCCTCCCACTCCCAGCCTCCTTCTCCCAATATGTTATCCTGACTCTACTTCCTACACTCCCCAAATCTCCAGTTCAAGCCTGAGGTCTTTCCACACTCAGGAGAACCAGCCTGGAAGTCAGAGGACCTTTGTTCTCCTTCCAGTTCTACTTCTTACTCTGGGTAAGTTAACAACCTCCCTAGGCCTCAGTTCCCCATCTATAAAGTGGGACTAATAATATTTCCTACAAGAATGGGATATATAGGTAGATAGGGATGGGCAACTTAGATATTGGCTACCTAAAATGAGGGGGCGATAAAGACATGAAGTGACTGGCTTACAAGGTTTCAAGAGGGAGTTAAGTTTAAATGCGTGTGAGGGAAGGTAAGAGTCCCCACTGAATAGTTTTCATCTTGTCTAGATGGGGCTGGTTAAAAGAGATGGGGATAAGATTCTTATGATTCAATAGTGAGTAACTGTTATGACTAATTGCGACTATCACAATTGCAAAGGTAGAAGGTTTGTAACAAAAACAGGGGAGTAGTTAATCTTACAGTCCAGAAACAGAGGACTCTAGGACCATCAAAGGACAAGAGCACAAGTGGAATGTGGAACCCTAAGGGCAAGAGACGCAGTGATAGCAGACGGAGGCAGACATGGGGACATGGAGAGGGTGAGCAGCTGAGGACTCTAGATTCACAGGAAGAAATAGACTAAGAAATAGTGGCCAGGAGGCAGACTTGCAGAATGTGCCCTTTAGTGGTATAAATTATTATATATGTCTGAGTGCTTTAAAAAAAAAAAAAGGAGCTAAAATGAATAGAGAGAAATACTGTTAACAGATGGTATATGGAAGGGATTGTAATCATTGTAATGAAACAAGGTGTATGATTTGTTGAATGTAAAACTGATGATGTGCCCTGTAAACTTTCATTCAATCCACAATAAGACTTTAAAAAAAATCACATGGGTGATGTCACAACAGAACGTTTAGAAATAAAAAGGATAATAACAGAATATTATGACGAGCTGTACTCCAAAAAATTTGAAAATCTAGAGAAATGGATACATTTTTAGAAAAGCACAACTTACTTAAAGTTACACAGAGTAAAGTAGGAAAAAGAGTGGGATAGATAGATAGATAGATATAGATATATATTTCTATATCCCACAAATATATGAGTTTGAAAGATGATATTTGTACATGAGTATTTATCTTTCCTGCAAACACAACTATGAATGTGGTGGAGCATACAACAGGTAAAATGATGAAAACCTCCTAGATATTATCAATTAAAGCAGTAAGTTGATGGACCTGGGGGCTCAGGATCATAGTTTCAGGGGACACTATGGTCAACTGACATAACGTAGTCCACAAAGACAGGGTTCTACATCCTGCTTAGGTGAGCAGTGCCTGGGACCTTGAAAGCTTATGAGCAGCCATCTAAGGCACAGCTGTTGGTCTCTCCTTGTGCAGAAGAAAGAAGAGTGAGTGATGAGAATTGAAGAGGTGTGGAATCAATTAGCCCAATAGACTAATGGAACATTAACCTCAGTCTCCATGACTCTGAGACCAGAACTAGAAGGTGCCCAGCTACCACTACCAACTGCCCTGAAAGGGATCACATCACAGGGTCCCGGATAGAGTGGGGAAAAACAGGGAACAAAACTCAAAATGACTTAATAAAATTTTAAATTAAAAAAAAAATTAAAAAACAGGTTTACTGGTTAAAAAGAGACTGGAGGAACAAGAGACTATGGCCCTTGATCTGGAAAGGAACTCACCATCATAGTCCGATTTTCAGTAGAGCAGTAGTTAAGTTTATAGAGAGGGACAGCAACACTAGCAAGGTATGGTCACCATAGAATGGTCAATCATTCAAAATCAAAATGACAACAGTTTCCTAAGGACAAGCTTCCAGGGAGTAAGAAGGTGGGTGAAATGCAAGTAAGAATCACAGGGAGGAAGCAGGATAACTGTTATTGCAGGGAGGGGATTATAATCATTGAGATGAAACAAAGTGTATAATCTGTTGATCATCTGGTCTGTAAACCTTCACTCAATTCACAACAAAAAGTTTCAAATATATTAACAATATTTCCTACAACACAGGATTGTAACGACAAAATAATGTGATATATATAAATTATATGCTATCACCATATTCTGAAGGCTTGTCATTTTTTATCAGGGGAGGGGAGCCCCAAGGGCTCCTTCACTGACCCTCATCCTGCAACTGTCAGAATTTTCAGCCTTTAATCCTCTGTGCCTGGTCTTCATGAGGGGACTTCCTTCCACTCCTTGAATTCATGCCCCCCACCCCATCTGTTTTCCCTACCCCCTCACATGGGCAGAGGCTGGAACTCTGTGTCGCTGACCCGGGCACAGAAGCGGGAGTGGACCAGCTGCAGGTTGCTCTGGCAGATCTTGTCATCACCGCAGCCTTGCTTCAGGAAGTGGATCTGGGGAGAAATTTGAAGAGAGGCACATCCCCAGAAAGTCATATATTAGGGTGGAATAAAGCAGGATTAAACAATCTGTGTTCAACTCTCAGAGGTGCCACTTACTGCTGTGTGATATTGGGCTGGTCACTTAACCTCTCTGAACTGTGTCTTCATCAGTAAAATGATACAAATATTATCAGACCATGGTAGAGATTAGTAGAATATCCCACAGCTAAACCACATTTCCCCACCCTCCCTGACATGGTTAATAAACCAGTGGCATAATGGTTAAGTGCTGGACTGCTAATCAAAAGGTCAGTAGTCAAGTCCACCAACTCTACTCTGCCCTGTAGTTACCACTGGACTCCAACTGGCATATGTGTGGCCATATAACTGAATTTCAGATATTAGGATGTGAAGAGTGTTCAAGGAATTGGATTAAGGCTTAATTTAGAAGTGAGGAGTACCACCTCCAAGTGGATATGAGGACCATTCAAGGTTCTTCACATTGGCTAAGTAACTTTCCTGAGGTCAACAGCTGGTAAAGCTCAGATGTGAACCCAGGTTCCTTCTCTCCACCTTCTGGATGACTGGAATGGAGATGACTTACAGACCTGAGAATCGACAATTGAAGGTGGCAGAGCCCCCATCAAATGGCTGACCAGAGGCATGCAGTCACCTCTGACCAGGAGCACTAAGTCATTCAAATCATTTACACTGGGGGTCTACTTATTATATGATGATGCTAAGTGTCGTCGAGTCGGTTATGTCTCACAGTTACTCTGTGTAGAGTTTTCAAGGAGCAGCTGGTAAGCTTGAACCACTGATCCTGCATTTAAACCAACCTTGCAGCCGAGCCCATTAACCAGAGCCACACCAGGACTTACAAATAAATATGAGGAGCTAAGAGATAAAGTATGCAAAAGAGCTTTGAAATTCATAAATGGGGATCAGATGAGGGGCCATGACCATTAGCCCTGCCAGCTCCTTTTCCCAGACCAAACCAGAACCCATGCTTACCTCTGCCCTCTGGGTGCTAGGCTGGTAAGCATTGAGGATGGGGACCAGTGGGGGTAGCCCCTGGCCAGGAGTCTGTCGTCGGAGCCGAGGGGTCTGGAGACTGTAGGACATGGTCACTACAATGGCCCGAAGCTTGTCTTTGACATTCTCCTGGAATGGGAAAAATAGACATGGAAACTGGAACAATCCCCAGGCCCCAACCCTCCCCAAATTCCCAGGCAGATCTAGCACAGATATTGACACTTGGAAAGAAACAAAGAGATGCAGGAAATAGGTGGAGAACTGAACATGGAAGAGGAGAAGTTGGAGAAGGGAGAAGACTCAGGATTAAGCACTTCGAGGATCATGTTTGGCAATGGAATCTGCCATCTTCAGATACTACTGAACTCAACAGGAGATGTGAGGAAGTAAATCCCTATGGGACCTTCCCAAAAGTATAGATCTTAGAAAGAGGTGTGAATGTGTTTTGGAGGAAGAAGGTAAGAGGAATGAAGGGAAATTATTCATAAAATGACAATGACCCAAGGTGAGACAAGATGGCGGACTACACAGAAAAGTCTGTGCAGACCCCCTGCGGCAAAGATATGGAAAACTAGACAAGGCAAATTCAGAAGAAGATCCTAGAACTCTGAGCTTCAGATAAAGGGATAAATAAGGGCAGCGAGGGTTTACTGGGAGAGAGAGTTGAACAGATGTGGCAAGAAAGGCGGTTACTTCTGATTTGGGGAAGCCAACAGGACCCGCTGCAGCCATTGTGAGTGTGTGTGAGCAAACTGAGAGACAAGGAAGCACTCTCATTACAGAAGCCTGCCTGAGATTCACAGAGACAAAGGCGCAATTATTTTTTAATTCTCTTTTCCTTTCTGTTTCCCTGCACCCAACTAGTGACCCAAGGTGAGACCTTTACAAGTGGACACCCCCAGGGAAAGTCCCATGTGGAGCCCCTGGCTGTGCAAATAATTGAAGGGGAAGGAGACGGCAGTAACAGCCCCATTCCAGCAAGCCCTGCTCTAAATTGATCCTGGCCACCTCTGGGCTAACTCTCACTAGGTGAAGCGGCTAAAGGTACAAGTGAGGTAGAAAAAAGGGGAAAGAAAAAGACTGGTTATAGGTCAGAGGGGCGCAGCAGGACTGTCTTAAAATTTCTCAGGTGGTTGTGAAGGCAAGAGGTCAGTTGGTAGCACAAAAGCATTATGCTTATTTTTCTACTGTGGTTTGCTGGTGGTTTTTTTTATTGTTTTTTAGGGCTTTTCTATTGATCTATTTTTTATTTTGTTGGTTTGTTTTCCTTCTCTCTTGTGGGAGTGTTTTCTCTTCTTGCCACACCCAAAGGAGACAGCAACTACAGCCATACAGCTCAGCCACAGCCATATCTTCTTCAGCCAAATCCATTGGGCTACAGTCAATACCAGCTGCTATACACCAGATCAGTGACAACAACCCACGGAATCTAAATTTATCCTGAACTGAACTACATCAACAGCAATCAGAGAATGGTACACAAGCTCATTTCTAGATCACATCCACCAGGAGGCAGTTGGTTACAGCCTAAGAATACATCAACACATATTCATCAACTTAATATAAATCCAACACCACAAGGCCTCAAAAGCAACAATCTTTGTGCAAATGAAAAGCAAAACACAGTAGCTCAAAAGACCAAGAAGCAGAACTAGGAAATGTTTATGAGAAAAAAAAGATACTGGAATTGCCTAAAAAAGAGTTCAGTAGAATGATATTTAGGTACCTCCAAACTATGGACAAAAAGGTTGGGGAAAACAAAAAAGAATTCAGAAAAGTGCTACGGGAACAATCAAACAAAATAGATAAAGGATTGGAGACAATACAAAACCTCCAACTAGAAATGCAGAAGATTAATACTAAAATATCAGAAATGGACAATACACTGAAAGGGCAAAGGAGTAGATCTGAATCAATGGAAGCCAGAATTAGTAAGTTTGAAAATAAATTTCTCAATACTAGTAAGGTAGAAAAACAACCAGCAAAAAAAACAAAAAATGTAAAGAAAGCCTAAAATTCATGTGGAACAACATGAAAAGGAATAACAAACAGGTGACTGGAATCTCAGACCAGAAAAAGACAAAGAAACCCACAGAAAAGATAGTTGAAGAGTTGTTGGAAGACAATCTCCCTAATATCACAGAAGATGAGAAGATAAGCATACAATAAGCTGAACAAACTCCAGGCAGGATAGACCCCAGACATGCCATAGTCAACTCTCAAAAACTAAAGACAAGGAAAGAATTCTGAAAGCAGTTTAGGAAAAATGACAAGCTACCTACAAAGAAAAACCAATACAAATAGCTCTGATTTCTCAGCTGATACCATGTAGCCAAAAAGGCAGTGAGAAGACACATACAAAATTCTGAAAGAAAAAAAAAAAAACGCCAACCAAAATCATATACCCAATATCCAACAAAGCTGTCCCTCAAATATGCCAGAGAAATTTAAACATTGCCAAATAAACAGAAATTAAAGGACCCAAACCAAGTCTACAAAAAAATACTAAAGAAAGTTCTTTGGACTGAGAACCAACAACAGCAGAAAATAACCAGAGATTGACATACATGACAACAGCACCTGGAATTCTGTTCAGATATACAAGTGTCCAGAGTAGAACAAAATTATAGGACTGAAAATAAGGATTCAGAGATGTCTGTCTATTATCAGGGAAACTACAAAGCAAAGGGAGGGAAAAGTATAGTTATAGAGTTGCAGGTGGTGAGGAGGTCAGATAGATTTCAAGATAAAACAGGCTGTTTTAAAGTGGGGAAGAACTTAATAAAAAATACGTTAACCTTAAAGAAACTTAATACACCTTCATGTCAAATCAAGAAAAGGAAACTCCATGAAGATTTTTGCAAACATTAAAACTATGAAGAACTTGACAAGAAAAAGCACCAAAAAAAACTCATCACAGGAAAGCATGTGGAACAAAGAAACCCATAGCACCACAAAAAGCACACAGCAATATGACTGTAATAAATTCATAACTATTGATAATTACACTGTACATCAATATATTAAATGCACCAGTCAAGAAACAGAGAGTAATAGAATGGATAATACAACAAGATCCTTTAATATGCTGTCTACAAGAGATACGATTTACACACAAAGACAAACAAAAATTAAAAATTAAAGGATGGAAAAATATATCAAGCTAACAGCAATCACAAATGAGCAGGAGTGGCAATATTAATCTATGATAAAATAAACTTTAAGGCAAAAACTAGTATAAGAGACAAAGAAGGACATTATCTCATGATTAAAGTGTCAATTGAACATGAGGCCATAACCACAGTAAATATCTATGCTCACAACAAAAGAGCAAGCTCTAATAAAATTGTGGTGGTGTAAATTATTATATATGCCTGTTTAAAAAAAAAAAAAAAGGGCTAAAATGAATAGAGAGAAATACTGTTAACTGATGGTACATGGAGGGGATTATAATCATTGTAATGAAACATGATTTGTTGAATGTAAAACTGATGATCTGCCCTGTAAACTTTCACTCAATTCACAATAAAAACTTAAAAAAAACTAACAAAATTGAAGGAAGAAATAGATGATTCTACATTAATAATAGATTTCAATACACCACTATGGAAAAAGAAGTGAACAACCAGAAAGAAACTCAACAAACACACAGAGGAACGAAACACAATCAATCAACGTGACCTAATAGATTTGTACAGAGCACTCAACCCAACAACAGCACAATACACATTATATTCCAGTGCACATGGAATATTCTCCAAAATAGACTATGTGTCAGGTCACAAAGCAAGTCTCAATAAAATTTAAACATTAAAATACCACAAACAATCTTTTCAGATCACAATGCTATAAAATTAGAAATCAACAATAGGAAGATCAAGGAAACAAAATCAAATACATGGAAACTGAATAACACCCTGCTTAAAAGTGACTGGGTGATACAATGAATAATAAATAAATACATACACACATATACATAAATTCCTTGAAGCAAATGAGAATGAAAACACAATATACCAAAACCTTTGGAACATCGGAAAAGCAGTGCTAAGAGGGCAATTTGTAACAAATAAACACACACATCCAAAAAGAAGAAAAAACCAAATCAGCACATTAACATATCTCCAACTACTAGAAAAACACCAGTAAAGTAACCCTATAGTCAGCAGAAGAAAAGAAATAATAAAAATTAGAGCAGAAATAAATGAGATAGAAAATAGAAAAACTATAGAATCAACAAGTCAAGAAACTGGTTCTGTGCATTTGACCTAGCTTCAATGGCTTGATGATCAGAACTAGACTACAGGAAGACTAAAAATTATGATAAAGGAAACAAGTGTAAATGTATACAATTTGATGAACTTGACCTATACTTACTTATGGATGTAGTAGCTCAAAATACCAACTGAAAGGAAAGGAATCTTTACATCAAGGATCAAAAATATATCCCCTCTC